TTGCCATTGACGTTTCACATATCTTTTATAACCCTAACCATCTTCTCCTTTCTCCTGAAGACCTCTGGAGGGTGGTTCCTCATTTTCTCACTTCCTTTTCCAATTTTTACCTTCGACTAGATCTGGATAGGCTTTTGTGCTTGGTCAGGACTCTTTGTTGTTATATTGCCCATAATATTTCCTTTCGAGGTACACGTTCCTGACTTTATCCCCTGGCAATCCTCCTCGCTTTGTGATCTTCCACCCTTACCAGTTGGGTCTGTCTTTTGGTTCAATTGGCCTATTCCTCCCTAACTTCTTCCTGGAATTTGTTCCAGGTGTCCTCCCATCAGATTAGACACCTCACTTTTTCTATTGCTTCTTGTCTTCGTTGTCGATTGGAGGAGATTCTGCAGTTCAGCATGTGGACCACACCCAATATGTTCATCTTCCAGTATCTCCATCATATTGCAGTTTCCTCTTCATCGGGGTTTCGTTTGCCACCTGTGGTGGTTCTTCAGAATTTGGTGCGTCTCTTACTGGTAAGTTTTTATTTGTACTTTGTTTTCAGGGGCCTTTCTCTATTTCTTTATACCATGGATTCTACTGTGTGGTGAGTGGTGCCTAAACCAAGTATTCTTTAGCTTGAAATCTGCACTGACCAGCCATGTTGACTCATGCTTCATCTTCCATGGCTTCACATGCTCACCATTGAGATGGCGTGTTTCACAATATTGCTTCTAGGTGCATAACCTTGTGATATTTTGCTTCGTAAACATGCCCGTCTTGGACTGTACCACCCATGGATTGCATGGGTAAAGCAGAAGGGGATTGCTGCCCATCCCTACCATGCCTGAAGTGAATAACTTGGTACAGTCTGCACCACATTGTCCCCCCTTCTTTGAGTGGAGTTCCAAGCCACTGGGGTGGTGAACCATGGAGGCAATCTGCTGAACGAGTTCCACACAATAACCATTCAATTACAGAGTAGGGTGGTGGTGTTCTACGGATGTTGATGATGTGATATCCTCCTATTTGTGATAAAGGAGTGAGATGCCAGAATGCAGTTCACCTCTTTGATTGGGAGCACTCATCCTACCCTTGCTTGGATGTTGGTACCTTGTGGGCAGGTTTTGGATTTAGAGTGAACTGATCAACATAAGTCCTCATACAGGTTTGGGGGTTGTCTATCTTCATACCTCAATTTCCTCCATCTGTGTTGTGGGTCACAGTGATGGTACATGGGATTGTTCCTGCTCTGTCCTTGGCTATCCCTCATCTCGCTTCTTGGGGGGATTTTATTGCCATTTGGATGGTTCTGGCCTGTTTATTGGTTAAGGGAGTTGATTGCATGCGATAAACATACTTTTGATACTGGATGTCAAGTTTCTGGATTGATAGCTCAGAGCTAATCCTCGTGGCATACCCAAGAATTGGATTGGTTTTTAATTCCATGTTTCTTGGGTTTGAGGTGAAGATGGTATGATCCTCATCCTACCCTCGGGCGGATGTTGGTACCCCACGGGCAGGTTTTGAATGTAGTTGACTTACTGAGTACGGTCTGCTATGCCATAGCCACTTTATATCGAGAGGTGCATCCTTTGTTTACCCTCTTTTCTCATTGTGGGATTGAGTTACAGTATATTCTATGGTTAGGATCACTTCCTGCCACATTCTCTTCCACTCGGATGTGCTCCTCTCATTTTCCGCCCTTATATGTAACACATTCCACAGTTGGGCAAAGAGTATATCTGGCTCAGAGGTGGTGAAGTTTCCATCTTCCGATATTCGCATCTGAATCTCTTATTTCCAGGGGTATCCTTCAGATGCTTTCCAGGGATTACTTCTTTCATTCCCTTGCACTGGTCCCTCCTCCTTATCAATGTGGGATTCCAGCTAATCGTGTGAGAGGATGTAAGGTACCGTATTGGAAGTTATAATTCTCCGATACTGAAAATGATAAGTCCTTCCTCCCCACATTTCTCCAGTGATGACGTCTTCTCCCAGACTTCAAATTGATAGTTCGGTAGAGGAGTGCATCACATGAGCATGCCATGTTCCTATTGGTGAGGAGGTGATGCATGATGATTTGCATGTGAGACGTATTGAAATCTTGCAATTCCAATAGGGGAAATGGAAGACTTTAGCATGCATAAAGAAAAAGTTTGCATATAGAGGGCAGCACTAAATGGGAATAGCTGATTTTGTGAGAAGAGTACCTATTGGAAAATACATTTCTGTATAGGAAAATTATAACCTTTTATTGTGTCTCTTTATTTCATGTAAAAGTACAGAAAATTTGATTTCAGTGTTATACGGCTAACTTTTAAAATGTTAACTGGTATCATACCATTGTAAAAATGAAATTATTGCAGCTTGTATAGAGAAATTAAATGTAGTTGTTACTTGTTTACACAACATTAATATATTATCAGAATAGAATTTCTAGTTTTATTATAGAAAATATGTTGATGTTATTCTAATTTTTATGTTGTTGACATTAAATTTAGGCTACTTGAAGTATATTAAAAAAATACTGGATTTTTACTTTGGCTAAGTACTCATTTACCTAATAAATAAAATGATTTAAGATTATTCATTTTTTCCTGGTTGGTTACAAAGCATTTGAGTAACTGTGTAGTTACAAATACAAAACTTAAGGCTCCAACATTGTCATAAACTAGGGGTGTTAGATACTGCTAAATGTATTAAATGTTCACCGTATTAGGTATGATCCACATCTGGCAGTTGAATGTGAGTATGATGTATACAGTGTAAGGCTTGCAGAAATTCTGCATGTATTTAAAGCAGCAACAATCTAAGGGTTAAACAATAAAAAACATAAGTTTGAAATAAGAAAACATTGAGAAAGTGCTCTTACTGTCTTATACAATGTTTTACATTGTAGCACATATTCTGTAAATATAATTATAAAGAAGTGGGAGAGACTTGACTTTGGAATTATCGGCATTATTCGTCGAGAGATTGATCGTTATGTAAGCCATCCTTCTCCTGATGTTGCCCAACTTTCTCCTGAACAAGCCAAACCTGTTCAGTATATGAAAGCATTTGACAGCCTTTTTCCTCAGCCTGAATTTGCTATGTTTTCTCAAGTTCCTACTGTAGGCTCGTTAGGCCTAATATGACCTTTTTGGACATGATTTCCCAAGTATGTTTTGTTTTATCTCTTTCCCCAATTTCCTATGCTCCTCTCCTTGTTACAGGATACTCCTTCCTCTCAATATTTTGTGTTTCCACCATTTCCTGATATTCTGATTCAGGCTGAGCAGGCCTGGCATAGCCAGGTGGTTAAGGAGCTCAACTCGCAATCTAAGGGTCACGGGTTCAAATCCCATTGCACCAAAAATGCTCGCCCTTTCAGCCGTGGGGACATTATAATATGAAGGTCAATCCCACTATTCGTTGGTAAAAGATTAGTCCAAGAGTTGGCAGTGGGTGGTGATGACTAGCTGCATTCCCTCTAGTCTTACAGTGCTAAATTAGGGCATGGCTAAGCACAGATATCCCTCGTGTAGCTTTGCACGAAATTCAAACCAAAACATACAAACAATTTCCTATCTTTCATAGAGTCTCAACTTGCTCTCCACAAATATCTATGCATGATTGAAAGTGGTCACACATTGCATCTAGAGCACATTCTAGGTGGTATCGATTGTATGACATCTGTAATCCTTTCCCAAAGGTCCATGTACATCCCTGGGTTTTGTGGCATTCACACATTCTTTTAACCATAATCTACAGTTAAAAATTACATGTTGTTAAATCTGGTTAATGGGTGGGCCATCTCAGAGGACCACATTTTTCAATCCATCTCTTGGGAAAAATCCTGTCCAGATAGTCACGAAGAATATGGGCAAAGTAACGGAAAATGCTATATAAGTGTAAACAGTTTTTGAATCATCCTGTAGTAGAGTAAATTATTGGTTTAAGATTTTTTTTATAATTTCTATAAATATTTCTTTCAGTTTCCTTTGTTTGTGTTAAGTTAATTTCTGTAGCTTTCAAACATACTTTTCTTCAATTAGAATAATTGAAGAATAATCAGATAAGGTAAGGTTACACGGTTTGTAAATGGGGTGAAAGGGGAACAAGAAAATTTTAGAACACATTTAACAAATATACAATTTTTGGAAAAGGTTTTGTCATCATCAGGAACAAGTAGTTCACCTAGACACAGGAATATATATATGTGTGTACAGTATGAAACAAAGTTACATGACTGGAGATTGCTTAATAAAAGTATCTTGTTGGTGTTTGGTTCTTTGTTCAAATATGGTGTTTTTAATTTTTAATAGATATACAAGTATTGACTTGCAATACTTGTAAACATAAGTTTCTTTTATTATGTTCACCAACTAAACTTTCATCAGATCAGATAAGTTTAGTTAAATTTACTGTTTAGTCTGTATGGTGACACTGCAAAATAATATTCTGAAGACTCGGATCTTTATTAAGTATTGTTTTTATCATATTCAAACAATGCACATAAATAAATTGACTAACTGGCTACTTAGTTATTTCTAGTTGCAACTGTAATATGTTTTAAATAGAAGCATTATTATTTAGTGGTGATAGCAAAACATGTTTCCATTATTTAATTATTAACTTATATCACTTACAGAAGACCAGTGTGGGGTTACTCCAAATTTGAAAAACAAGCATAATAGCAACCCTGTGGTGTAATTTCATCAACATTAGCATTCATTCACCAAGTAGAAAATGTTCTGATTAGCTTTTAAAAAAAACAAACAAAATAATGTTAACGGTAATGCAGTGGTTGAAAAAGTAATGAAGTTAGCACTAGTTTTTTATTTTTATTATTTATATATGGGTGTGGATCAATTTGTAATTAAATTTTGTTTCGTACAGTATTTATGAAAATGTTTTTTCCTATTTATGTGGTTTAAGTACTTAGGATGAGTTCTACAGAAAGCTGTTTTTCTGGACTGTAGATTATAGGTTGTATTGTAATCTATGATACCATTATTTTTCAACTTTAGATTATGAAGCAGCTACAGCACGGAAATATCATCGATTTGTGAAACAACTAAAGCCTAATATGGAGGAATATAACAAAAAAAAAGAGGAAATGTAAGTTTTACTATAGTTAATCATTAAAGCCAGTGTTATCCAGGAATTCCTGATATAAGCCTTCATTATATTATTAACACTTATGTGTATAACCTCTTGTTAAGTGTACTTCACTTTGTCATACAACCATACCAGTGACTGTGAACTGTTGTCATCATGTCTTGTGGTTTTGATCTTCCAAAGCTTTTAAGTAAGGTAGTTGACTACAGAAACATTTTTTAAAATGTTTAAAATCTTACTTCAGAGAGAGCAGAATAAATTCCCTCAATTCACACGGAGCATGTATCTCCTGAATTCTTTAACCCTAACTGCCTGGGCATCATTTACTGCGCATGTCATGTGGTTTTAGTGACTTAAACTACTTTTTATTTATGTTATACCAATTAGTATAGCATAAAATCTTAGCTAATAATCCATATTTTAAGTTCTTAATTTTATAAGGCAATATTTAAAATAATCCTTGAATTTCCTCTAGTGTGAAACATTTTATCTAGGCATCTCCTCTTTTCTATTTTATTCACCACCCCTCCAATAAGTACGAAATTAAATGTAAATTACACATTATAAAATAGTCATTGCTCAGATAAGCCATAATTTTTATAGCCTTCAATTTTGTGTAGTTACAGAGCCATCATATAGAAAATCAGACCCCTCTAGCTGCACCCACCTATTACATCCTCTCTTTAAATTATACATTACCTATAATCAATAGAAAGCCAAGGTTTTCATCCATCAAATGACGTATTGTATAACATTGTGGTCGGAACAGATAATTGTCAATTTTACTCAGAGTACAAGCTCTGTTCCTGAGGGAATAATAACGATTAGCTTGGATGAATTCATAACAGGTCTTGTTCCAGAGTTAGAAAGCAAAAATAATTCTGATAGTTATGGGACATTGTTTGCTTTTTGCATGTTGTTATTCTATGTTCTTTGTGCATTACTTAACTCTTTCAGCATGGGATCGGTCCTTGGGATCAACCTCATAACCATTTTGTGCTTGTAGATTTCATGCTATAACTTTTAAATTAGTAAGCGATTGTTAACAAAATTTGGCATATGATCAGTAAACATTACAATGCTTTCATATGCAAAATATCTAATTTTTTTATTAACTCTTAAGGTTTATAAAGCAATGTTTTTTCATTTTGCATATTGCCTATCTATCATGCAAAGTAATATTAAAAATACTTTTATGCATCAGAAAGTTTTGAAATTTCATGTGTGAAATCTTTATAATGTCAAGATATTTATCAAATGTTTCTTAAGAAACAACTTTATATTTTATTTGTTATATTCAGAAGATTTGACCAATCTCGCAACCACTATAAAAAATTGGTAAATAAACATAATTTATCCCACTTTCATTCTAGAATGAACACAAATTACAACACGAAAACATAAATGTTTAGACTAAATAGCTTAAATCTCATAACATTATACATTTATATATATTATTTTTATTATATTGACCTTTCAGCCATGTCTGGCTAACAATACAGAAGTTATAATGACGCGGCTCACATGCTCAAGTAATATAAAACTGATCTTTGGTCTGTGCAAAGTAACTTGTCTTGGCTGTGTTTTAGCAGACTAGTATTTTGTAAAATTCATAATCATTTCAATTATTATAGATTATTGCTATTTTGAAATAACTTCTTGAAACATAGAACAGTAACTAAAGAAGTAAAGCAAACAGTTATCTCTTCTAGTTATGACCTTTGGACTCGGTTGCTAAGTCTTCAAAAATTTTGCACATGGAGGATATGAGAAAGCCTCTAGGGGGACATTTGGAGCTTCTGATTGGTTATTTATGTCAATATATCAGGGAGCATTTCCAAAAATGGAAAGATGTGGGTGGGATGCCACAGTGTTTAATTTATTACATGAGTAATATCTTATCAAATTAAATAGATAAGAGGATCTTGTACTATTTTCTAGCTTTTCAATATCGGTAATTTGAGTTTCTAATTTGTTCGAAACTATAGACTTATTATTTTGACATCAGAAAAATTTAAGATGAACCAGTGCTGCATTCAAAATACCACATGACATACATTATTGATGTTTATCTCTGTTTCGAAATTAAATAATATATATAGTACAGTTTATTGAAATATTTCACTAAAAAAAATTACTTTTTTGTATGTGAAAAACTGCCAAACTGTGCCGGTGTTGAAGCGTGGAAGTTGAACAAACTTGAATGGATGCATATACTGCCATCACTGAAGTAAACATTAGGGGACAGAAAATCCTCATTATATCTTAAGTTACTATGAAAAAAACTATTTGGACATCGGCAAAGTCATTTCAAAGGAAACTGACAAACATCTGCTTTAGTTTGTAGCACATTGATTCATCTGTTACATTATAAGAATTCACCTTACAGTAATAGTTAAAGACGAAGAAAGCAAAACTGTATAAAGTGTTGATTAGTTGTTATGCTTATTGTAGGGGTGAAGCTTTTTACCCAGGACGTGACACTATCATTCATGGAATGCATAAAGATACCAAAGAATGTGTAGACAGAATGGTTGCTGATCTAGAGAAACAGTAAGTTACTTCTATTGTCTTTCTTTCTCTCATAGAGAGAGATAGCGTAGTTTAAATACACAAAAGTTTAGCTTTATTAAAGAAATTTAAAATATGCAGCTTTAGATACAGGTCTTAATGTTAGAATAAGTTTGCTTTTGATTTAAAGTGAGAAGAAATTAATTTTTATTCTATTTACTATATACTCACACTGTTTCTCTTCTTTCAGAATTGACAAAAGGTCAAAATACAGTCGCCGTCGCAGAATAGATGAGGATGCTGATATTGATTACATTAACGAGCGTAACATGAATTTCAACAAAAAACTAGAACGGTTTTATGGCCAATACACAACAGAAATCAAACAGAATTTGGAGAGAGGTACAGCAGTGTGAAATCTTTTATGAAACACCAAGGGGAGTAAATTTGCTACACTAATATATATAAAAACAGATCAGCTTTTTAGTAACTGGAAGAAAAAAAAGTTACACTGTTTCTGACTGAAGTGCAAACTAACATTCTGGAATATGTTTTGTAATTAGTGTAGTTTTTTTTCTTTAAGGGTAATTATTACATTCAAGATCACACAGCACATGATACACAGTTATTTTTTGACTGTTATATATATACACCTTACTAGGAGGATAACTGCTACAAGAATGAATAAAATCTGATTTGGAATTAGTATCACCCAAAAGCTTATTGTGATCAATGTTTTTTGAATTTGATTGTATTGAAGAAAATTTCAAGAAAAACTCGATAAAATATTTAAATAGCTGAAAGTACCTAGTATAAGCCAATAAAGATTTTTACCCAGATTTTGTGTTAAAAACTGAATTTGACTAGTTTTAAAACTTTTTAAGAAAATAACAAAAATGCTACAATAGCAGTGACTGTTCAAAATCATATATATATGGTGAGGCAAAAGTTATTATACAGTTGATACTAAATAACTTTACAGTCATTTTTTTTGCAAGTAACTAGTAGTACAGTAAATTTATACCTCCTGTCAACATTAAGGAACTAAAAATGTTTTCATTAAATTAACAAATACTTTCAAATTGTAATAAGAAATTTTTAGGTAGAAGCTTATGTTGGCAAAGGTATGATCTATGATGAAGGAAGGGTTAACTTACACTAAACACAAGATTCTAATGATAACTTATTGACATAATGGATGTAAGAAAAGCCATTAAGCATACCTACTTATAAGATTTCTCTATGTATCACTTATTGAAGGAAATTACAAGTTTAGTCTGCAATATTTCAGTAGATAATGATGTTGACAGCTTACCAAACAGTTTATCTGTCTGTAAGAGTTAATGAATCTAATACTTTTACAGAACTGTTTTAAGAACAATATTAAAAACGTTCAAACTTTGGGAAATTAACACTACCTAGATAACGAGAAATGTACTTTTACATTCATCCACCACAGCATATTATGACTCTTAGGGAAAAACAGTCTGTAAATAAATTAATCATTAGTGAATGAAAGATAAATGCATCTAAATTTCTAAGCTCCATAAAGCAAATAAATTTTGCACAACTATATTATAATACTTTTAAAAATAGATTTGAACTGTAACATTGAAATTTGTATGATTGCTTTGCAAAATTCCTTTGTCCGGACAGAATCATTATAAATTGGGAAAAATGTTGAATATTTGTGAGGTTATCATTAAAGAAAGATATGCACATATTGTGTATGGTTGTTTCAAAATTAAGATCCAGCCCAGTTTTCTACAAGCCACAGTATCAAATACATGCTGTTATGAGAAGCACTACTGTCATAGGGAAGAGAAGTGTACCTGCCAATCAGATTACGATAACCTTTGCCAACTGTAGCTAACAGAGAAATGGGGTGCGAGATGTTTTCCACTGATGATGAAGAATTGTCTACCCCATCCTTAGAAAACAAGATATTAGACAATGGAAGAATTGCCTTTACTTCCTCTTCGAAAGGTCGAAATATGGTCACAGGCCGCATGCTGTTTCCTTCTGCTACAATGACACAACCCCAGGTGGTTCCAATGTACAGTTCACAACCTAGTGTTGCCATGGCTGTAACTTGGCACCGGCCAGCTGTTCCAAACAAAAACAGTGGACATTAAAAAAAAAAGTACACTCTATACTTAATCACGTAGAAACAAAAAGATAACATTGAAACACCGATTGAAATCAAATGGTCTGATTATGTATCTCAAGTAGGTCAAAAGGCATGACCTTTTCAAGAGTGACACTTTCAAAACTTAAACTACTTTATTATCAATGTATACAAATAAACTGGTGTTAAAACATAACTAATCAAATTTTAATTTCATATAATTTAGATTAAATGCGTGTACTGTATTTCTTGTTTTTCATGTATATTCTTTACTTATGGATATGTAAACATTCGAAACTTGTTAGATTAGGTAAGTTTATGATGGGAAAAAAAATTAGTTGCAAGGTATGCTTAAGCAACTTGTGTGTTACGTCATTCAATACAGTAACGATCCATGTGTTTGCTGTGTGGTGAGATTATTAGTTAGACAAGGTTGAAAGAGCAATAAAATTGTACAGGGTTTGTACAATTTGGTCAAAGAAGAATTCTGATTTTTCCACGACTTTGTTCAATTACAAACTTCCTACCTATCAACTATCTCAGTTTCATTTTATACAAGGCCTATGTCAAATTAGAATGTATTTAATTTTTCCTTTTTCTCTCGATGATGACTATGATTAGGAAAAACTAAATAAACAAAAGCTATAAGAAGGCCACGTTGTTACGTCAAGGACAAATGTACAATTACAACCCTTTCTACCTGTCAGTCATTTCATTTTAATTAAGACAACATGTAGAAAAATCAGTTTAATTTTTTTTCCCTCATGTTTTTAATTTCTTTTATCTCTTTTTGTTCAGTTATTTTACAGGTTGTAGACTTGCTAGTTTCTCCTTTGTGGATTGGTGCAAGCTGTTTGATTTTGCAATCAAGGTCAGCTTTCCTGTGCTTTCAGCATTCAAAGCCAATTTGTCAGCTGTTTTCTCAAGAGCATGCCATCTTTCTCAATGCATTGTTTCTTTTTGTTTATTTCATCAATTTCATGCATGAGTGATTTTTGCTTGAGTGTTTAGCTTTTATTTTCTTTGCATCACTTTTGCTCATCCAAGAAGGTGTAGTAATTTTGCCTTGCACCAGCTGCAGACAGTAAAATGGCCTTTGAAATTACCAACTGAACTGAGATGGTTACACACAGGGAGCTGGATTGTGTATATTTTCTCTTAAAGATTTTCAATCTCAATCTGAAGATTTGCTGAAAAGCCTTTCTCCACCGAGGCATTCCCATTAGACAAAAGCAGCAAGACCTGCACAACTTCCCACACCTTTTCAAATATTTTGCTGCCTGCCATTGTTTCATAGAAAAAAAAAGATTATCTACCTGCATAGTCAGAATCTGTAAATTCTGCTTTTCTGCTTGTTACCATGTCAATTATGTAGAGTTTGTACTGCCTGAGAATATCATCACAGCTGTTCTCATCAATAAGTTTCTGCAGTACCTTCTTGAGCTTTTTTTTCACATGGATCCAAGCATGCAGTGGAGACTTATCCTGCAACTTCAGCACAAGTGGTAGTAAGCACTCTTTACTCTCCTTCCTAAATTCAAGTTCTCTTTCTTCACTGATTTTTTTCATTTGCCACCACTTCCTTCAGTAAATACAACATCTATTTTATTTGGATGGCAGTGGACCTTTGTGTCAGCAGCATCAATGCTCATTACTTTGGACACAAATGATGGCTTTAGCAATTATCTCCCTTAATGAAACTCTGCATGACAGATTTAATCACATTGAAGAGATCACCAACAGGAAATTGAACCATTGGTTTCTCTGTTTGGTATACAATCAGAAAGGAGGTCACTTATTTTGCAAGTGTTAGGTGAAATGCAAGTTTTTAGGCATCAATGAATCTTTACTCCCTTCTTTGACAGTACTGTATGATTTGTAGCAGCATTTGTGATATTCAGACTCCACTGCTTCTATGTAGTTCTTTCAGTCTGGCATAACCTTCTCCGTCATTGGCACATTTTCTAACCATCTTGTTTTGCATAACTTTAGTGGCATGAATGACTTGGTCATTGCTGTGATTTTAGCATAACCTTCACAACAAGCAAGGGAGTCCTTTAGTAACCAATAAATACTACTTAAAAATTGGTCAATCTTCCAACTTGTAGAATCTGCTCCTTTTTTGAATGCTCCATGTGAAATGTGCAAACCACAACTTCCTAAATTAAGGAGTATTGAATTTAAATCTCAGAAAACCTCAATTAAAAAAAAATCTCCAATTATACAAATATTGTAGTCTGATGACTTGTAGGACTAATGTGACAGAATCTGCTTTTTAAGTCTTCTGTGGTGTCATCCTGAAGACTTGAACTCCACCACTTTTATTGTAGTCACTGATACTGCTTTGCTGTTACCAAAGAATGTAGTTAAATCTACAGGTTGTGTTGTTTCTTATATTTGCCTTTCCAACCTAGCTTGGACCTCGATGCTCTCAGCATTGATACATAATGCTTCCTCACCCATGATTGACAAAACACACTTTGCATTCCTATCATCAGTTAAGCACAACCATAATTTATATCTCTCATCAGTTAGCCAATTATCATTGAAAATGCACTTTCCAGGTATAGTCTGTTTAAATCCAGTCTACATGTATGTATGTATGTATGATAATCACTTTGACAGTCTAGCTACTAATCTGGAACACTTCGTAAGTTAATTAAGTGCTAAGTATTGTATATAACCATAGAAAACCAATGAATGCTTTATATTAAAATATGCTGGAAAAATGGATAATATGCAACTTAAATGGTGAAGACATAGAGAAGAAAAAAAAAAAAGACATCTGAAAATAGATAAAATCAAAAGTCTGTGAGAACTACTGTCTTTGCATATTCTGCAGTAACTTTCACCTGAAAAATAAATTTAATTTGCTCTGACATTCCATGACTACAACCAAAATTCCATTACTTCTAGGTCTGGAAAACATAATACCCTGACTTTCCAGAAATATCTTGACCCATACTAACCCTGATTGTAGTTCATTACAATTCACTGTCACTTTAGAAAGAAAGAAGTAATTTTAATTCATATTATTTTTATGGTGGTTACAAGGTCAGGCAAATAAACTTGGTCCATATAAGAGTTAAGGTAGAAAAAATATAAATTTTCAGATGAAGAAAAGTATATTTAATCTTAGTATGAAAATCACTTTTCACTCGGAGCAGTCAACACATTCCATACATTCACAGATATTTTGTAAAAAATACTGTATTGCCCCTGAGGACATGCTAATTTTTCACATGTGATTTGTTTTTTTCAAAACGTTTTTTCTTCTTTTTCAAATAAAAATTACAGCAATAAAAGTGGATTACAGTAGAGGATTATATGTTGGATTATTACTGTTATCAAGCAATGTAAGTTTTAAAAATATAGGAGGGGCATGATAATAAGAGAATAGGGGCAGTTTGGTAATTAAAAAAAATGATTTGTAATATTTAATGAAAGCTTGCACACAAAACATATTAAAAGTTATAGTATGGAAACTCTGATGGTTATTTTGTGGTTACAAGGTTGATCACATTGACTGACCTCGTACAGAAAAGATAAGTATTTTATAATTAATAATGTTTCAGTAAACAACTTTTTGTTATAACTCAAAGCCTAAAATAATTTCTTTTTAAGTTACAAATATTAAAACATATTTTATTTTCCCTGCAGAATTTTAGCATCACCTGCATTCTACAATATCTGGATAATAATTTATCCAATAAATATACTCACGACTAAGATGTTCTTCTATACTAATAGACATAAGAGATTCAGAACACGGTGCTAACTTAGAACAGTCCAATTTGTGAAGAATGGTGCGGGTTGCAACTTCCCACAAGTATACTACACACCCTGGAATAATGTAAATACTACTTTAGTTCATACACATTTTCTCTAATTTACTTCAACGTTTGCATTTTGATTGTACCTTTGTTATCTTTATGTCACCTGTATTACTGTTAAAAAAATAATTGTATCACTTTAGAAAGAACCACTTGTCTCACTGAAAATTCAAGTTGTAGCATTATTCCAAAAAAGACTGTTCTTCCTATTGTTATGGTGTGATTATTGTTTCAGATGTTTGGGAAATTTTATACAGAATAATACAGCCACCCACCTACCTAAACTTAAAATACATAAGCAAGAAAAGGACTAATAAAGCATGGAAATAGACAATACTTAAAATCCAGAGTACTAGCTTGTCCAGGAAAAATAAGCAAATTGAGACATAAGCAGGCCAAAAAATAAAATAAAATGCAAAATTATTTAGAGATAAAATCTTTTGTTTCAACATGAGAAACAGATTTATTAATAATTTTTGTAAAAAAATGTTATTGATGTTAATTTTATAGCTTTATACTGCTGTTAAAAAAAGCTTTCACAAGACAATTCTTTATCATACAGATAATTTTAAGATCTACACTATTCATTTACATAATTATTGTGAATATGGGAGCTATTATAACTTACCAGGGTAAATGTATGACCAAACATATGTGGAATTAGCCACCAACTGAGTGACATCTAGGGGATCAAGAACAGGATCAAAGTGGTTTAACACTTCTTGGGATGTGACAATTGAATTATGAAGAGTAAAGATTGTGACAGTAGCTTGTGTCTGGCCACACCATAGCTCACTTCTGCAAATAAAGTTTACAATGTATCAGGGATGGTTATTTTTGAGTTAATGTATCAATTATGTCTTGCAAAATAAACCACAGAGGACCTTCTAGCATTTTCATTTTAATTGCTGTAAATTAACCAGCAATGAAATCTTGATTTTTAATAATACAATTTTATATCTATCATGTGATTTGAAAGTACTTTTTATATTTCAAAAGCTTTAAATAATGTCATATTGCTTTACATGTATTTACCTACATTCCTTCAGTTTCAAACCAGTAACACAAAAGATGGGATTCCCATTGCTTCCCAGTTCCCAGATCTTTTTTTTCTCAGCTATGTTCTCTTCAGAACTAGGTATACTTTCTTCCTTATGATGACCATCTCCTTCAACACTCTGAACCTTTGTGCAGCACAACCAAAGGCGACCACTGCTAGTTGCTATAGCAACTACTTCCAACTCAGGGAGATGAGTCATGCTGCGAATAGCACAGTGGGAAGTACTATCAGGGTCCAGAGAGAAGGCACAAAGTTCTGAATGATGTGATCCACTGAAGAAGATAAAACAGCATGATGCTTCAAAATCTAATATTCTGACAATGATTAAAGAATTATTATTACATATAATTATATATGTAGTCTTTCAAACTTAAAAAGCCCACAGCATTAAGCTTTAATTATTGCATTAAAGACATTGATTCTGTATCGAAATTAAATACAGAACTTTCCTCTTGTGATGTCTGAAGTAGGTATAGCTGGAATCGTATTATCAGAAAAAGTGATTGTGTTATCAAAAACTACTGTGGTCCCTCAAGATTCTGAAAAGTTATATGGCTGAGAATTAAACATCAGAATAACAACAATGAACATGTGTGAAGGATGAGATGTAACCCAATATAATGTGAAGCTGGGATCCATAACAAATATCTTATTATTAGAGAACCAATGTGGAAACCTTATACCTATATGAAACCTAGGAAAAAGAGCAAACACTTGTTTTAGAAAGCTATCATTAATTTGGTGACTTATGTCTATGGCAAGTGCAATACAGTAATTCTATCCTTAAAACTGTATCCTGAACTATTACATCAAAGGAAATTCCAGGTATGATGTACGTAACTACAGATTAATACATTAGTACAAATATTTACAACTTTATTTCAAACAAACAAAAATTAATTACACATAATACAGTCCCGTGGCATAGTAGTAAAATACGACTTTTTCATGTACTTTGTAATGCTAAAGTAAATTATACATGTAATGTAATACAGTGCACCAATTTTAACTAGAAAACTTCCCTACAAAAATTACTTTAGAACACGAAAAGTTGTTTCACATACATATACAAGTTATTTTAATCCTTAAATTTACCTGTACACATGGACACAAGCACGAGAATCTCCTAACCAAACTCTGTTTTCAACTATACACATGCTGGTAACTGTAGCCTGTTCAGTCATTATTGTCTGAAAAGTAAGAAGAAAATTCAAACTTAAAAGTTTCAACATAATATTAAACTCTAAAATGCCTGCATATGTTGATTTGGCATACCTGTTGTATGATTTGTTTAACTGAAGTTAAAAAAAAAAAAAACTACTATATCAAATAGTTTGAAACCCGAGATGAACTTTCCACAGGTTATGTAGCTTCTGGAGATAAAATATCTTATTTTTGTATGTGACATAAGTATGAACTTGCAGCACTGAAAAAAATTTCATTGTGGGATGTTTTTATACAAGAAACAAAAATGCTTACTTTCGTTGTAGATTTCAATTACTGATTTTTATTTGTTTCTACATTCTTATTGCTTTAAACAGGTATTGTTACATCATAATGTCTCGTTGTTTGTAGGCCTAGTCAGGCAACATATATATATATATATATATATGACAAAGTTAGTACAAGTAAATTAAATGGATTAGTGAAAGTGAAATAAAATGAAGTTAGACTGTGTGATTGTGAGTTTAGCCATAAAGAGCATATACTGGCAATTTCTAAAGTGAAAGTATCACAGATTATATTGTAATAACAAAGATAGGAAAATAATTTGTCTTGTCAAAGGGTGTTCTAAAATAATTGAACCCATCTGTGTGGGCTTTGATGAAAAAGACAATTATTTAAATACAACTGTGATAATCAACAGTGTAAAGAATTTTTGCACAAACTTTTGACTTGTTTTGAAAGTATTATTTTGTAATTTGAGGGTCTCAGCTTCAATTCCATCAAACTTACTCATTGTGTTTTTAGTATGTTAAAGCTCATAAAGCTATTTGTCTCTGTAATTATTTAACAACTGCTGACTACAGAGGAGGCAACTGGTTGGCAGCACCCACCTCCAACTCTTGGGCTTATTTTTGCTTTGTACAGGGGAATGTGTATCATGGTTTGAGTAACAATGTACTAATCAATTAATTAAAAGTAACTAATTAATTGATTGGCAAATACCACTATCCAACAAACTCTATAGTGCAATGTCAGCTTAAACAAAATATCAAATTTAATTTACTTCTTTAGAAAACAAGTGGAATTCTTGATTGTAACAATGGATAGACATTCAAATTAACATTCATTTCAGTTATTGTCATTACCTGACACAGACGTAAGGCCAAAAAGCTTCATAATAATTATTGTTAAAAATAAAGAAACTGGCAAGTATGTATGTATAATTATTTTGCCTAATATAATGACATGATAAACACTTACAACTTATTCAATAAATAAAATTTAGTTTAATATAAAATTCACATTGTTAGTATGGTAGATGAATATCCATAAATACTAAATATGAAACATAGCTTGAGGCTATGTCATCTATCCAAGTACATAAATCTAATATCAAATAAAACATACCTTGTTGTTTTGCCACCCATGGTAGTTACATTTCAACAAGTCTAACTGTTTCCCCTGTCTACTTAGCCATACTTCCCAACTTTCCACTTCCAGGGACTTTTCCCCACCTGATCAGATATATATCTCATTTAAAACAGATAAGAAAATGAGTAAATTAGTGCTATCAGGTCTGTAAAAATCAATTCATTGTTAAATATGCCCTTACTATTGCTGAAAGTTTAAAATATTTGTATTTGACTACAAAATTGTAGTTTTGTAATTATTTTCTTCAAAAACCCAAATTTTCACATTTATTTATGATGAAGTTAACAGATTCTTAGATTGAAAGCATCCAGACAGTTGAGAATATCTACCTTTTCCCATTTTACATTAAATTGCAAAAATCATGTCCATGCTGTTAAGAGAAATTTATTAAATTCAGTGCTTTTGTTAACATTCTTATAATTTGGAAACAAATCACTACCATTCATTATTAATAATGTTTACAAACAGTCACATTTCCAATACATGTGTACAGTATAATATATCCAAAGCTTTAAATGTTCTCAAATTAAATTAACCACAAATTTTCATGTTATGTTAACTACAACTCAAAAATATTGCACTCACATAAGTTAACATTTTCCTAAACTGAAAATGTATTTTCGCTTTATATACCCCACTCGAATGCCCTTGGCAAATTCTAATTTACAAATTTCTCCACCAACTTCAATATGCCCTCTATCTAGGTACTGTATATCACCAGCTCATTCAGAAAATGTTATCACTTTTTCAAGAACTAAATCAGTTTTTAGTGGGGAGAGTTTCAGTGGAGGTAAGTATTATTGGAAATACATTTTCAGTTTGAGAGAATGTTAATTTCCAAAACATACTTACCTCTGCTGAAACTACAGCTAGAATCCCACATTCAGAAGGTGGAGAGGTCAGCGCAGGCATGAACCATACAGAAAGCATCTGTATAGAACAGGTGTACACTTCACCTAAAACTCACTTCCTATATCAAAGGTGGAATAGAATATGAGTAATCATCAGTATAGGTCAGCCCCAACCAGACAGCTGAAGTTCCTCAACTCGGGGTTGGAATTAAGGGGTTGTGGTACCTATATCCCACATTGGTGGCTAGGACTATTGGACTGCAATGTTATGTATATATACTTTTGATTGGATCCCAACCTATAGCCATACAGTGATGCATTTCACACCACCTGAATCATGATGAGAAAGTAAGCAACACCGAAGAGGACAAACCTTCTCTTTCACCTGAAGAAGTCCAAAAGGCAACACCGCAGGCTCGGAATGACAGGATCGTGTATGCCGTACTCAACCAAAGGAACGGGACTCATCTGGTCTGGAATTAGGAACATTCATCCTCACTTCCCAACCAAGTGGGCAAGGAGTATTCTGCTTGCCCCTGGAATTATAGAGAGGACGTGGAACCTGTGCTCAACCAAGCACCTAGGATGGGACCACTTCACATTCGGAACTATAAGGAGATAGTGTACCTCCTTCCATGAACAATATATGAAACCAACATTGATCAAAGAGAAGGGCCATGAACCCACCAACCAGAATTAGGCTCCCACAGAGGTTGGTGCTATTCCTACTGACATCTGGGAAAACATCCAGGGACCCGAGTAAAAGGGCCCCAACTTTGCTCTCTTCTTAAAGAGTGGAAGAACACAAGCACTCAGGAGGAAAAGCCTCTGTCGACCACCCCAGCAACTGGAGGTGGTAAGGACTCTCTAGCTCCACTGATATAACCTGTGGGGGTAATATGCATTGGGGAGTCCTGAGGAACAGTGCTCTGAAAACTGTTCAATAGGTGAACCAAGCTTCCTACAATTTTAAAAGCAAATCCACTGAAACACCTCGTGATGTAGCATCCATTCCGTTGGAAGAATTTGGTTGGGTCGAGACAAGTGATCTGCAATTCATCACTCCTGGAACATGACATGCTAAAAGAATGATACAATGAGCATGAGCCCAGTAGAGAAGATCCAAGGTACGAAAACAAAGGTCTCGAGAATGTATGTGTGTCTCCTTGACGAGAAATCACCGTGGAATTGTCAAAATGTATCCTGACAACTTTTATCGTCAAGAGAGACAGACCTTGAACCATAGCCTGGTGACTGCAAGAAGTTCGAGAACGTTGATATGAAATGTAGTCTCGACTTCCATCCGAATACCCTGGAACTCCTGACCTTGAAGATAAGCTCCCCATCCCTGAAGATATGCATCTGTGAACAGAGGGACATAATAGATTTCTGCAGTCTGATAAGAAAGCACACTTTTGTGGCTTCTGAAAGGAGAATGTTGTTCTGCTAATCGATGGGATGGTGCCAGAAGGAACCAGTTGTTCATATGATGTGTGCACAGACCCAATGAATGCAGATGACGAGAAAAAGCTCGTACAGTTCTGCAGAAGAGACACAAGGTGCTGATGCAATGCTAAAAGGTAGAGCCCTGAACTGCAGTATCTGACCCTTGTGCACAAATCTGAGAAACCTCCGGGAAGATTCCACTATGGGAATATGGAGATAAGCATAGATAACATCAAACTTGGTCATGCAGAGCCCTGGCATAAAATGCCATCGTAGGTTGAGAAAATATTCCATAGTAAAGCGATGAGAATCTAATGATTGGTTGAGTCGAGACAGATCGACAATTGGACGCCAATCTCCTGTCTTCTTGGGTACAAAAAATAAACAGGAATAATACTGCATTGTTGATTGACAATTCTCTTATGGTTTGGGAACGAACCTCTACTCGTTGTGGATCTGTTGGAGGTGAAGAGACAACAGGTGGAGGTGATGTAAATTGAATGACCAACCCTGAAAACATGAAGTACCCATAGATCCCTGGTGAAAGAGCTTCTGATGTCTAGAAAGTGATGTAATCATGCTCCCATTAGCACTCCCCCGCCTACGGGATAGTAACCGACACCGTTTTGTAGTAGCCGAAAATCCTCGAGAATACGGATGGACTATTATGGGAACCAATGGACTTGGGAACTGAAGAAGTGGGGGTTCAGAAAACAATACAAACCAATACTCCCAAATTAGTGCCAGAAAGGTGAGTAGCCAATGACAATAAAGAAGAATGTAAACGAGCTGAATCAAATCGTGATTCTAACATCTCTGGAACTCCGGCAAATAACATGGGACAGAGAAAAGGAGATTCCCATAATTCCCTGAGGGCAGAAGACAGTAAACAAACATTTTCTCACAAGGTATTTCTACCCAGTAAATCCCAACAACAAATTAGCCAAGAAACCAGAGAAAGAAGTGAAGAAGACAATATGACTGAAGTAGACATCAGCAAAGTCCACAACTCATCCCCAAATTGCTGAGGGAAACCTTGATAGTCTTCCGACAAAAGTTGGATCCAAGATAAATAACTCAGGACAGTAGTGAAAGTAAGACGAATCCGAGAAAACTGTGATCTGTTCAAAGTGATTACAGGCTCCAATCTACAACTCTACAGGTCCAAAAGGGGGGTTCATCCATTGAGAATCTAAATATACCTCGTCCTGGTGGTGAAAGGCCAAAGCATGCTGTTCAGATAAACGTGTGGGACAAGGCATAGCTATCCTGTCATGTATCTGAGCAGCAAATCTCCAAGCATGAACAGCAATATCAGGAGAAGGAGGAAAAACCAAGTAGTCACTAGTCATCCTTTCTGCCAACAAATGCAATAGGAGATATCTCCAAAATCTCAAAAACCCGATTAACCAACTGAAGGATAGGGGCTGGAGGTGGCTGATCAAGAAGATCCTCTGTTGAGGCCGACCTAGTAAAAGAAGGAGCCGGAAAATGCGAGTCTAAATGCACTCCAGCTGATCCAGAATCATTTCCAAAAGCTGCCTCAGAACCCCCCTGGAGAGACACCTTCGCTCCACATATATGTCTCGATCTTGCAAATGATCATATCACAGATAGCCTCACCTGAGAGAGACCCCTTCCCTGGTTGTCTACAAACATCAGATAACAGAGGTGGAAAAGAAGAGCTCTGGTTAGACTCATACCAATTGAGTTTTTTAATTAATTAATTTATAAATATAAGCGAAGATATAACCATAGTCACGCCAACTACGTCCAAATTCGCAAGGTAAATTATGTGAATAATCACAACACTTCTCTTTATAGAAACGCTTGCCAAATACTTTGTCGAGAAAAAAAGTGATTACATTATCTGAATGAGGTGCCCATATACAGTACGTAGATAAAGGGCGTATTGAATTTGTTGGACAAATTTACAAATTAGAATTTGTCTAGGGCATTCAAGTGGGGTATAAAAGACTGGAGCAGGCGTTTTCAATGCTTAGATGAGCAAAGAGTGGAAACCCTGGAGATCGAGAAATAGCTATAATGTCAACAGAGGTTAGTATGTTTTGGAAATTTGCTGTACAGACTTCCCTGTTAATAAATATAGTAAACAACATCATTTATTTAAAAAAGGATTTTGAAAAACTATTACTTTGGTTTTGGTCTAGAGATGAACATATTTGTAAAGAAACATACACAGCATTATTTTGTTTGTTATTTATTAACTCTTTTGCAATGGTTTGTTATAAAATACTAAGACTGTATACACGTTTGCACTTGTTAAATATTTATACTATAACTTTTAATACAGTATGTGTATCTTTATAAAATTTGGTAAACTTTGGGGAAACATTACAAGTAGATCTTGAAATTCGAGTTGTTCAAAACTTGAAAATAACGTTGATAACTGGACCAATTGTTGGTTGAGATGTTGCAAAGAAAATATCTGCTAATGGTCTGTCAATCTTTCATCTTTATATTTTGGAAGCCACCTTTATTAAAACACACAAACCTGTCCTTTGGCACCAAAAAGAATTCCTATACATCTACACATCCTTCAGTAGGTCTGTGACATTTCTTGATTGGCTCAAGGACATGCCAATCAGTGATTGCATTACTGGCCTACGTTGATCTGACTCATTTTATAAGCTGTACTATTTCCTATGGATCATTTTCCAGATGGTTCTGCAATGATTAGTGTCTGGTGAAAAGCTTCAGCAGATATTTCCTTTGTAACATCTCAACCAACAATTGGTCCAGTTATCAATGCTCGACTTTCAAGATCTACATATCTACATTTGCCGATGCTTCTGTTTATCAACGTTAGATTCTAAGATCTGTGCAAGAACTCAGCTAACAGATGTTTCTGCATATAAAAGCTGCACATGAGCTGTTACAAATTAATCTAAGCTAGTCAATATACTTCCCGTGGGGCAAAGTTTGTACTAAAAGAGAAATAGACAATTCTCTGTTCAGAAAACAATGTAGTACATCATTTGATAGATGAAAATCTTGGCTTTCTATTGGTTATAAGTAATATAGTATTAAATGTAAGAGAACTATTAACAAACCCTGAAAGAGAGAATGTGACAGGTGGGTGTGGCAAGAGGGTCTTATCTTCTATTTGATGGCTCTGTAACCAAACAAGACCAAAGTCTATAAAAATTATGCTTTGTCTAGGCAATGATGATTTGATAGTGAGTAATTTATGTTAAATTTCATGCTTATTAGAGGGGTGATAAATAAATTAAAGAAGGGATGCTAAGAGAAAAAATGTGACATTTCCCACACTAGGGGAAAATTCAGGATTTTTAAAAATATTGCCTCAAAACGTGAAGAAATTAAAACTTGTATGCTATTAAAATATGTAATATTAGCTACGATTTTATGCTATACTAATTGGTATAACATAAACAAAAAGTAGTTTTATTATGTTCTGAATGTAAGTCACTAAAAACCTTGTGACATATGTGGTAAAGAGTGCCCATGAAGAGATGGTTAATGGTAGAATAGCAGGCAGTAAAATTCAAAAATATCCTTAAGCATGTAAAGCATGAACTTTGGTAAGAAAAGAATTAAAAAATTGATTTTTACATGTGAAAAGATTTATGGAATCAAATGATTAATTATGTGAACATTCAATATATTTTAAAAATAGCAACATCAGAAATTTTAAAAAGTTCTATAACAATAAAAAAAATTCTATTAACCAATGAAAACACTTCAAAGATTACACTAGAGTAAATGTGACATGGTGTGTCGCTACACTCAACACGTTAAAAATTAATGTAAAACTGAGCCCATTTCACTCTTCACAGTTTAAACCTTCCAATCTTCTAAGGCACAACTTTAAATCAGCTAAATATTCAATATCCTATTCCAAGATTTAGACGTTTCTTTATATTAACTGTTTTTTAAATCTTATCCGGTATAAGAATCAATTATATTACAAGAAGTACAGTTTACAATATTCAAATCACTTTAATGTGTCCAATATAATAATAAAAATTTATTTCTTTAATTATAACCCACCTTCTCCACAGCTATAAACAGGCAAAGCTCCTGCTCCTAACACTGCCAAGTTGTCATGAAGTGAGACAACATCCATTAAGTGAAGAAATTCTGGTGCTGTGGCAATAGAAACAATATGACTTGTAGAAGGTCGATCCTTGGGTTGTTGTGACCAGCAAAGTGTCATGAGATCCAACATGTAACTGGGATATACAGTTTCCTAAAGGTCAAGAATGAAGTAGAAATATATATATTACACTTAAATTGGGATTTAATATTATATTTCATACCACTAAAATATAGTACATAGTAAATAGCAGAAGTTCATCAAGCACAATGTTTAACAGAAATTACAGTTTAGTGTTTTCTAGAAGCCAAACATAAATAATACATATAGTGACCAAATCATAAGATCTACAACAGGCCTGCTAAATACTTTACAGAGAAATTACAAAGTAGTGATGAAGTAACCAGCATGTGGTCATCGTATATTTTTTATTCTATCTATAGCAGTGGTGGGCAACCCATAGCCCGAGACCCACTGCATCCTATATATATAGCTAATTTTTAGTCAATTGAATCATTTTTGGAAAGGGCGTTTTGCAGATCTTGAAAGGTGTTTGAAAGCCATATGTGTGGTCTGCAGATTAACTTAGGTTGCCCATCATTGATCTATAGCATACAGTAGTCCCTAGTGGATACAACCCCTCCGAATAATGACTTCCTTTTAAATACAACTTTTTCTTCTGTGTACGGAACAATTCTACATTGATCTGACCTCCCACGAAAAACTTCCTGACCAATGTAACATACAACCACGATTTTTGGGCAGAATGTTGAATAACGACCTCTCCATAATGACTTTTCTTCATATCAATAATGTAATTTACAGAGATACAGTGTATACAGTATGGAACAAAGAGGTCAAGTGACCGGAGATTGCTTCACACCTAGGTATTTTGGTTTAAAAACTTTCAGGTCCTGAAAGATAACCAGGGGCAGTCAAAACTGTTGTTTGTCTTTGCCCCGCTCATGAAATTAAGTTTTATTCTTTTAGTGAATGTAGTAGGTTTAGAGCTAATGGCCTAGACGTTAATCAACTTGATTAAGATTTACCAGCAAGGTGTGATGATTATTAACTTGCAGTTTGTTGAGTGACAGACTTGACTATCTGTGCAGTAAGCATGACTAATAAAATGCCTCAAAGCATCTGGTAAAGCTGTGAATTTCTCAAATTGAGAAGAAGACTCGAGGTGTTGATATAGAAAGGTGATTTGGATGTTGATATAGGCCAAAGTTGTGATGAAAGCAACAACATAAATGAAACATGGAAATTAGAGAATTTTTAGTCAATTTAAAATTTTTTTTAATGCAACATGTTACATTTTATGTAGTATTTGTATTCAGAGAGGATTACCTTTTTAGGAATTGGCTAGAGTCTAGCAATAATTTAGTTCAGACATTTATTAATTCTTTGGTGGTTCTTTTTAAATTCGTGGAATGGTCCTTTTTCAGAGCTGCGATCAAAGGATCCAAGTTTCAAGTGAAATTTTGGTTTAAGGTGGGGCTGTTTTGTTAAATTAATATAAGTAGCTTCCAATGTTTTGTTCTTTGTTTAAAATTACAGCGTTTTGCATAGATATACTGTGGATTTTTTTGTTTGCAATGGTGAATCCCGTTTTCAATTTTCTTCCGGTTTCTCTGCTGTAGAATTCTGGACATTTATTGCAAGTTATTTTATATATTGATACAAAAATCGTGCACTGGAAACTAAATATGAATTGCTTCTTAATATAATAACTGCCAGACTCGTTAAATGTGCAAAACAAACAAAGGTAGACAATTTTTTATGAAATAAATTTAGTCAGTTTGTAATATTTTATATGTATGTAATGAAAAGGTGATACACAGATGTTTATGAAATAAATGTGATTTATGAATAAATTTAATTTATGTAAAATACAAACAAAACAATTTTATCTTTACTGAACTGTTATCCATCGTAACTATTATTATACAGTGTACCAACTTGCTACATTATCTGACTACCTATACAGTATATAAACCATTATGCTCAACACCTGGAAATAGCAATTGGCACAGCTTGAACTTGGTCATTCATTATCTGGTTATTGATCCTTTGAATAACAACTTCCTATAAGATGCAACTTTTTTATCACGGCAGATAGGTCGGTTGTACCTAAGAGAGACTACTGTAGGGTCAAAGATAAAAAAAAAATTAATGTGAAATACAAATTAGTTGTAAATGGTAAAATCAATTCATAATAATACCTCTTAAATTAAATTTTGACCATCTAATGCCTTCATAATTGGTGATAATATGTAATATTGATGTCATAGATGCTACTAAAACATCAGAAGTGTAATTTTGACAAAAAATGTAAGTCCAAATTTACCAACTCACCCGCTGACTTAATGACGGTCTTCCACCTTCCAAGATGTGATCTTTAACACATTCTTGACCTTCAAAAGGTAAATGTAATGTAATCAGCTCATACATGAACATTCCAAAAGAAAAACAGTCCACCTGGAGAAAATAAAAAGGTCACTCAATATCTTGTCCCTTCCAAAATCTGAAGAGAT